AATATCAATATACCTTGATGAAGTTTCTTCGTACGGAACTTCCATCATTGATTTTACCATTTACGTACTCGGCGAACGTAGCGAGGCCTTCGAGGCGAACGCTTCTTGCGGCCTGATCTTCCGCGTGCGTGCTTCGTGTACGAAGTCACTCAAACGACGATCGATGTCCTCGTATGGAGACTAATAATGCCAAGTTCACTAGCTGGCTTTGTTAGATACAGTGGCACCGCGCCGTCGAGTACCAAGGACAGGCATTGATTGACGGAGATTGCTTATCACTCGTTACTAGCGAGAGCTCGTGTCACATCGATTATCACATCGTGTATCCGCAACTGTGCAAGGATGGATCAACCCGCACACGAACAAAATCCATGTGAATAAAATATACGCGATAATTAAAAATACGGACTTTTTCCTTGCCGCAACTTTGGCGATAATTTAAAATCACAGAAGAAGCTTTCTCTGTAAAATATGCCAGGCTTAAACGAGGCGGTGGTGTGTCTATTCGGAGAGATGTACAAGCAGATGCTTGCTACATTTATTAAATTCCGCGGTGCAAAGAGACAAGCATGAGGAAGATCAGGTCACAATAAAATGCGAGATAATTGTCGAAACGTAATGCGAGAGATACAGGTTTGATAGCGATAGTGAAAATTTGAGGAGCCATGGCCGATCGCCAAACCGTTATTTCGGAATCAACCTCGAAACATTCTTTTGTTATTCATGGCGAGAAATGGGGGAAGAAAGGTTTACTGGAACGTGACAGTAATCCTTGATATAACAGTCCAAAAAATAAACTACACTTACTAATTACAAGTATACACGCTCAAAATTTGAAATGTTTACAGTTTCGTCGATAAAAAAATTAAGAAATACATAATCGCTTTTTTTTTATTGAATTTATTAAAATTACGTATCAAATACTGGACGTTTATAATAATGACACAATTGTATCAATGAATTATGTTAATGAAATATTAATGTTTCATTAATCACTCAATACAATATCGCCGAGACGATAACGAAATAATTGTAATAATATAATAACAGAGGTTGATTAAATTTGATGACGTTAATTCCGGCAACTTAATTGATTATTAACCACATAAAATAAAGAATCAACAGAGAAGAAGAGACAAAGGGAAAGATCGCTTACTCTTCGATAACTTGACGCAATGCGTATTATGTTACTTCGACCTGTAAACTCACGTCAGGTTTTTCTGAAAGAATATTATAAACGACCATAGTTAATTAAAAATTTTTTTCAAGGCAGCACGTTGCGAAAGTTGCATTTTCATCCCGCGGCAAATGTCAAGATATAACTATAGTTCGTCAAGATTGGCTTTCCATGGAAGACAATCCTTTCCTCGCGTGACGGGAAGTCGGATTGACGCGTCACAAATTGCGTCACCTCCGTCGTGCTTTCTCCCGCGAACGATTGTTCAACGAGGAGGCTAGCGAGCGCGCGACTTAATGTCGCCGCAATTTGCGCGTTCTATTAGAAGCGACCGGCGACGAAACGATCTCTTCGTTCTCCTCGTTTCTCGTCGCTGCGACGTGTAACGGCTTTCCGCGAGTTTCGTAACTTTTCCGAGAGAGCGGCGGTGACGGAGAGAGCCTCAGCCGCGTCGCGAAATAATCGCGTTGACATTCGGGTACGTTACACTCCGCGGAGTTTGGAAACTGACCCGTCTACAAACTCGACGAAGCTGCGAAGGAGATAATTAGCGGAGAGAAAATTCGGCATAGCAAATCGGCCCCTGAGATGCGAACGGTATATCTCGACTGGTCAAGTCGGATCGATGAGAATAATCAACGACGTCCGTTACGTA